CATGCCTTGTCAATGCGACGCCATTGAGGGCGTATCGCACCATGGATTTCCCGGACTGATCATCCAAGCCGATCCCAATTCCAAGCAACACAGCGATTGGCTGTGCGGGAACCTCCACAGAGGACTGGCTGCCTTGCCAGAGAACGTTCTGGTTTTCTGGTTATCGACTTCGAGCTTTCTCTGTATCCCTCCCCACTTAAATCACACATCTACAAGTTACCGATCTTAGGCGGAGCTGCGAGAACATCATGTAGTCTCTGGTGTCGTCGAATGGAGAGTAATCTCATGTTTGGCGCTACGCCCCCGTTCCACACGTTGCCTCACCTAATAATGAAAATTAGCCCCGCCGCGCCGTACTCCATGCTGAGCCGTTGGAGCTATACGATTGCGCAACGGTGTGTTGGCGTATTTTTGAAATGTAAGAAATCATCAGATGAGAATAAAGGTTGCGACTGCCGTTATACATGCTTTTATAATTGCCCACAAAGAAATACGGATATAATTGAACGAGAAGCTTTCGTACTGCCCGCCAGTATAAGTACGCGACAAATCTTTTCCGTTGTCGGCCGCCTACGTTCAGCTGTAGTGACCGAAGAGGAGGTTCTCGGCAAAGTCTCAAGTTTTTCTATTGTGCTTAACGATGCTACCAAACGCGTTGAACGAATAGTGATACTCTCCATGGAAGTACTCATCAATAGTGATTCCCGAAGATTCCCGAGGGAGATTCCGAAGGTTGCGAAGTGATCGGGAATGATTTTGGTCCCGAAAATCCCACGCGTTCGCAGCTACACTCCATGAAGGTCGACTCGAAGCGCCCTCCCGAGAACATTTGAGAATAATGCCCGTCTATATTTTTTTCTCCCTGTCGTCTCTAGAAGAGCTCCGAATGTCCGCGGTAGCATGCGCCGGCGCGAATCCGCTGACATGTAAGGCATACCGGGGAAGGTGTGTCTCAACGATCGACAGATCCTCGTTCTAACTCCGTGCACGAAGCTCTCCTTCACAGTGTCGTCTAAGTAGCGCTCTGTTGCGGTCGACACCGCGTTCTACTTTCATCGGTCTCTTACTGGAATATTCCCTCGCTTATCAGAAGAATTAAAATTAAATTCTCCTCCGTGGGAATGACTCCCTCCTCTGACTTCGCTGTGAAATCTGCTGAGCAGCTGTTCTAATCCATTGTCAGCCGGGGTTTTAATTGTTATATTTGCAACGTCTGAAAACAAACAAACATCGTTTATCGCAGCGTAGCTCTTCGTTCCTCGAGTGAAGTCGACAAGTTTACGGTCCCCGGGAACCTTCCCTTGTTTAAGTAGTTGTTCCCCAGCTCCACTGATCCTATTTCCTCGTTTTGAGCGAGGTCCGAAGCTGCAGCGACCCGACGAATAAATCAAACAAATCAGAAAGCCTGCACGTTCCAATGGGAAACGAAGCCGAAAACCTCTCAGGACGGGATGTAGGGCGGTACGTGAGACTCCGTCCACCACACTCAATTTTAGGCTTGACCGAAAGAGCGTGATCCGCATCAACGAATTTCTCGGAGTGGGATCTCATTCGAGGACCCGAATGCCTGGAAGAAGCTTTTCTGAACGGCGTCTTCTGTTTACGGAAACATGAGACAATGAGCAATTTGACTCGATCAAAATCCACTGGATGAAATCTAGCGAGTGGAGTGATCACAACGTTCGGAGACCCGCATTGGAGTCATTCCCGTGTCTGGAATCGCAATTTCGACGAGAAATAATGACCTGGGAAATTTCATCGAATCCGCTAATTTACCGGTTAAGAGGCGCCACACGAAGATAAACCTGTGGAGTGCTTCTTCCAGCTCGGACGGAGATCGCAGAGCTGCAATTTTCGATGGAGCGAGCGTCGCCTATCAGCATCACTTTCAAGGATTCCTGCCTCGTTAGTGCGATGTTCCGAAGACGGTGGCCGCGACATGTCTTCTCGCCCGATCGGTCCCGTAGATTTCGACGTTATTGCATGATGTGATGGGGGCGCAGGGGTCTCGTTGCATACGAAGCGCAGATCATGCGCCATCTCACCAGTACCCGGAACTTATTTTTCCCTGAAAACGGGCTGGTCTGGAGGTGGGACCCCGGCAATCCACAGGTCCAGGACCTGGATCAAAAATGGAGCAAACAACACCCACTGAGCTGGACAGAGCAGGGAAGGGAATGAGCCAGAATCGACTTCATCGCACTGATGGATCTTTGACTGTTCGGGTCAGGGATCGTCATGTTTCACTCTGTCGACTGTGGACTGTGAATGAATCTCTAAGGCCCCGCGTGATCCCAAAGGATTATCGAGACTGAATCCCCGAGGCAGAGGCGAGTAATGATCCCTACCTTAATGTTTGAGCAATCAATGCGCAACTGCATGATATTCGTCTATCTTATCCTTCCGAAGAAAAGCGGAATATTGGCCTGAACTGGAAAATCACCTCCCTTTCTACGGAACGTTCGAGCGTTCCCGTTCATCGTTCGCTTCCACGATGATTCGCAGAATCTTCGTTCATCAGAATCGGTACGATGAGCGCTGCCGACGGTGCCGACCCCACGGGAGGGATTGACAGCCTGGACTCTTGGGGCTCCCCCGAGGACAAGATCGTCCTTTCCAGTGGAATTTCCAGCTCCGCTCGACACGGTACACGCTTCGTCGTCAACAGAGATCTCCTGGATGAGGGTCCGTCATGACGAACCCTATGAGGGCGAGGAAAACATTCGATAGAGAATAGAGAAGCAGTCTGGAATGGAGCATCCCTTGGTTCCTCCGTCTTCTGAAGGTTATTCCAAATTTCCACAGAAGACAACTTGACGAAGGTGGGCTCGACGGAACACGGAACGGAGCCGCGGGACCGTCTATCCGCGATTCCGAATTGCAGCCGATCGGCCCCGCCGACCGATGCGATCTGTTTTGTGAACCAGATATCTCGCTTCGATTTCTGGAAAGAGCGTCTCTAGTCCACACAGTCGTAGCGCACCTCCAGAGCTTATTCGAATGATGATTACAAAAATTCTGATGAACCAAAGAAGCGACAAAATCGACTCCGCATACGAACGGGGAGAAATTATACGGGGGACAATTTTTGAAAGAACGTGATGCACCTTTCGGGAAGCCTGGATTCCGAGAATGTAATTGAGCGGTCACCGCTGACAATGAGGGATATCCTTCTTGACAACGGGATGACATCGAACACCATATCGCTCCCTTTTCACCGTAACGATTGATGCGCTGATTTCGTTTACGTCTTCCTATTTATCCTCGTCCACACATTCAGCACCGGGAACACATGCCGGCTCCTGCGATGGTTCGTAGCGACTCATTTCCGTAGAAATACATAGTCCGAGAAGGAAGGCGCCATCCTCCGGGACCCTCCGATGTCTGAGATGGAACCCTTCGGGATCCGGGATCCCTGTCGAAGATCTTGCGGATGTCAGAGCATCCTTGCCTTATATTCACAGCCGGCCTGCTCTACGTGGAGGTCTGGAGAAGGAGGGCGATTCTCCGGGAGCCTCAGATATCTGGACTAACACTCTCCAGGATCTGGGGTCCTCTCTGATTGTGGGGCGGATCGCGAAGCATCTTAGAATAATTAATAGATGCAAGTCGCAGTCGACCGGCTCCGTAAAAAGTCTGGGAAGGGAGACGCGGATCCTCCGGGACCCTCGAGGATCTGGAACCGCTTTCTTTCGGATCTGGGATCCTCTTTGATATTGCGGCGGATCGCGCAGAAACTTGGGATCACAGTCGCGACTAGCCTGCTCTATGGGAGATTCGGAGAAAGGTGGCGCGATCCTCCCGCAAGGACCCCCTTCCTGAGTCTCCGTCCACTATGACTGACTAACCTTGTGTCAACGTGAGAAAACGATGGATAGTCTGTATGGATATTCTTCTCTTCACCCAACACGGTCCCTTGGGATGACTTCAGAGAAGGACCATCACAAGCCGTGTCAGGAAGAAGTGTTCTCACGGAAATAATCTCCTGAGCGATTTCCAACGGCATATTTGGTACCCGGGAGAAGAAGAGGCTTGTAGGGGACAAATTTTTCGCTCACGAGTCACGAAGAACGATGTCGAGAGTGGAAAATGAAGCAGGAAACACTAGGACAGCACGAGGAAAATTTTCCGGCATCGATCCCTGGGGAAAACTTATCCTAAGCTTAATCTCGGGGTAGCATGCAACGACATCGGCGACCTCAGAACTCTGAAACACAAAAATCTGAATCGATGACCCCTCACCACGAATATATATAAGAGCCTGAGAGCTCAATCGGACGCCGGGCAAAGATCATCGACATCGAGGTGTCCATAATCCGAGTGTCACAAGGGCCAAGTAGCAACATATATCTCTCCTCGACTCGGGATGCTGTTCAACTCATTCATTGGAGCGAGTCGGCCCTAAGACACTTTCTTTGAGTGGCGTATGTTCACACACCATTCAAGAATACGCCGTTCTACCGCTCTTTTGCTTTCTTCTGGGCGCCTGGGTCGGATTCTACCCGGTCGGCCGAGACGATCAAGATCCAGATTGAGACCACGGTGTAATCCAGGAAAAAACGTGGCGGGGTGCGGCAAGGTTCCAGGAGTCAGTCTCAATGAAGTTCTCGTCCAGCCAACCATCTGATCTGACGAATCGGGATGATCCTGACCCTCAGAATCTGACAGCTGTGTGGCGGAGTGATACGAGCGCAGCTGGTCTTTAGAGCAACACCACCATAACAGAGTGCGCTGCTGTTGCGGCTGCTAGTGTGTAAGTGAGTGAGAATTGCAACGTCTAGTGAAAACAAGCAGTCAGCCAATCAGCAAGAAAACTAATTTCAGTGAGACGTGAGCTGTAGAGAGTCGAATAAGTTCCTCGAAGAAATTGGGTCATCGCTGCAGTGTAGTTTCTTAGAAAATATCATTCGGAGGCAAAATTTCGCGTGGCTGAGTGCTATTGAGCTGGTAAGTACACGTCACCCTGTTTCCGATTCCCTTCTCCAAGTGCCCGAATTCTCTCCGTATTGAGCTTGAAATGACTCAATTCTTCCTGGTTACCTCAGAAGTGACGGATACATCCCCCTCAATAAGACCGAAAAATTGAGGACGAAGCAGAAGTGTCAGATTCTTATGACGAAAGTAAGTGAGACCCCGTGCTCCATTACCGTTATTCGATGGTGTGATAAGGGTTGAGAACTTCCCCACCTGGGCGCGGTCTTCCAGAATCCCCATGATTCGTGGAGCCTGACTATCTAGGGAACGGAATCGAGTGTTCTGACTCCGGGTTTCTCTTCTAACGCAGGAATTTCATCGCAGTCATGCCTTCTCTACGTATAGGACAACTCCTCACACTCGGAATCTTCTGCTGTTCCTCACTGACTGTGGGGAATGCCTATCTACAGAAGGGTCAATTCTACCCATCTGTTGTTTACCTCACTAATTCCAGTCCCTCGATGGCTGTTATATACGCACAGGCAGCCGTGATTGTATGGCTCATGGCACAAGCAATGGGGAAGATATTTTTCGGTCAGCTGCGACCGGCAGAACTAGAAGTGAGTACCATTCTATGTTCTGAACACATCTACGTTGCTTTGCCGCGGAACGTCCATACCTTTGAGCGAGTTTCGTACCGAGTAAGGCTCGGTGCCATGGCTTCAGGACTAGGACACGATTTAAGATCGAGGCAGGACCGAAGAGAAGCATCTTCAGAGAAATGGTCTGATTCCGAGGATTCACTCTTGCAGCATTTGTTCGAGCGAGCGTGGTACGCTGTGACGGAGACATGTCTGGCGTTCACGATTTTCCGGGACGATTTCTCGCCGAAGTTTGTGGCGCTCTTCGTCCTCCTCCTAGTCTTGAAAGGGTTCCATTGGCTTTCTGAGGAACGCGTCGACTTCATGGAACGAAGTCCCAACATCTCGTTGTTATTCCACGCACGCGTCTTGAGTCTTCTGTCGCTCCTCAGTTTGCTGGATTACGCATTCGTAAGACACGCATATCATAGTGTTTCCATCAATGGAGCCACGGTGAGTCATTAGCATATCATTCGGAAAGCATAGCAAGGAGATCGGGGGCATTGCTCTCACTCATCAGAGAGGAGTCGAAGGATTTCCCGAGCTCACGACGCCAACTCCCTTGCAGGTACAAATGGTGTTCGGGTTCGAATACGCCATTCTACTGTCGTCGGTGTTATATATTTTCATAAAATACGTCCTGCACTCAATCGATTCACGGGCAGAGACTCAGTGGGAGAATAAAGCAGTCTTCCTACTATACACCGAGCTCATGATGAGCGCATCGAAGGTAAGCGAGCTTCCAAGCGGAGAGAGCCGCCGCTCATCGCTCAGATTCGACTTCGAGACTACTGAATCGCTGAATGAACTGTTGCGCTCTTCAAAGAGGACAATGAATTAGTATCTAGAGATTATAATTCGAACTCGTATTCTAGGTGATGCTGTACGCGACATTCATGGTGGTTATGCTGCGGATCCACCAGTTCCCCCTGTTCGCTATCCGGCCGATGTACCTCAGTGTTCGGGCGCTGAAAAGAGCCTTCAAGGACGTTGTTCTGTCGAGACAAGCGATACACAACATGAACACCCTGTGAGAATCTTGAAGTCGTAGACGACATCAATCTCGAGAAGAACTTTCCCTATCGATTTCGATCTCGCTCCGAGATTCCAAGCGAGGTTTTCTCGCGAGCTTAGCTTCTTGGACATTCACAAGACAGCGATCGATATCCATTTCTTCCCCAGATATCCCGATGCAAGCGAAGAGGAACTGGTTTCCGCAGACAATGTCTGTATCATCTGTCGCGAGGAAATGAGCGGTTCCGGGAACAAGAAATTACCGTGCAATCACATTTTCCATGCAGCGTGCCTACGGAGCTGGTTCCAAAGGCAGCAGACGTGCCCCACTTGTCGGAGCGATGTCCTCAAGTGAGTACCCCTGGCCATAGGGAAAATCTAAGCTATGAAAACCTCAAGCCGCCGGTTTCACCTACTCTAATCGACGCATCGTCCTGAGAACGATTGAGTTCTCGAGAACGGGAAACGTGTCCGATCCCCAAGCTCGTCGGCTCCGTCGTAGATGAGATCATCAGGTTGGGAATTCACTGGAAGCCTTTTCTGCAGTGTCGGACGGTTGAACCGTCGCGCAGCAAACGGACCGCAACGGCAACCAGATGCACCGAACAACCAAGGTCCACCGGGCGCCAACCCCAATGTGAACCCCTATCAGAACCTGCATCAGTATTTGCCCCATGCATTCCTAGCGGCCCATGGCATGTTCAATCCGTTGCAACCACAGCAGCCCCAGCAGCAGCAAGATCGACAGCAGGGGATTCCCCCACAACAAGCTCAGCAAGCCCAGAATGTGCATATACATCATCATCCGCATATTCATCATCAGCATCCAGGAGGACCACAACAGCAGCCACCCGCGGGAGGGAACAACAACGATGCCCAACAAGGAGGTGCTGAGGACCTTAACGGGCAAGCGGAAGCACGTGAGTCCCCATTCCTATTCGAACCCCATTGGCTCTGTCCTCTCTCTTCCCTCTCTTATTCGAGATGATTCAATCTCAATCACTTTCTTCTCTCAGCGCTCAATCAAGGCGGAGCGAACGATGCTGCCGCGCCAGGATCCTCAACGCAGAGAGGAGGACCCCGGGTGACGCTATCGAGGCCACCGCCACCCCCATTCTTCTTGATGCCGCCGGTATTCGTGCCGCCACCGCCTCCCATAATTCCACCAGGTTTGAACCTATCGGCGCTCTCTGACGAAGAGTTGCGTGCGATGGAGGGGAACGATCGAAGTGCAGTCGAGGCCCGAATAGAAAATTTGAGGACAATTCAAATCCTGCTAGATGCTGCAGTAGTGATGATGGGCCAGAACAACGCGATGTGGAGAGCGTCGCAGCAAGCCTCGGCACAGACGGCCGGTCCACAAACGCCAGGCGTTCCCCCTGCTCCATCTCCGTCAGATGCCGCGACGGCCCCGCCCTCGTCGACGGCCGCTGCGGGAGCACCGACGAATAACTCCGCTCCCTCGACGACTCCGAACGGCGTGGCTAACGGAGCAGTGTCTTCGGGGCCCACGGTCAACGCTGAGCAGACGCCCCAGGGGGGTGACGGCGCTGAAGAAGCGGCCGAGGCTAAGGCCTCGACCTCGAACGGCTCTGCGCCGTCGGCAGTGAGTGAGCTAGAAGCGAGGGAAATACGGAGACGTCGCTTGGAAAAGTTGGCCGGAGAGCGAGCGCAAGAATGAGTCGAGAGTTCAATAAAATAGTCAACCAAAAAGATAGTGAACACGTCAACTTGACCCGGTACATCCATGAGAGTAATAGTATATTTTTGTGCGTTTACAAACACCACTGTGAATCATTCTGAATCGTTACGTGCTGCATCGTCAACGGCCGCCTGATGGGCAATCAATGACGGCCGCTCGCTATTTCGGCTCACTCAGTGGACGAAGCTCGATTTAGTGCACTCATCGCCGGATAATCCCCCGGAATGCAGATCTGGATTCGACGAAGCGCTCCTCATCAGCTGGAGACATCAGAAAAGAAGCTCAAGCCTCTCCGCTGATCGAGTTGAGAGAGGAGAAGAAGATATCATCTCGCTCCCATCAGCTCGGACCACGATGACACTCTAATAGGCGAGCGTCGCGATTGAGCTGCAGCGAAGAGACTCGCGAGCAGCAACATCAGATGATTTTGTCGCCTATCCGGTTAGCCCTCGTCCACGAGTAATACGCATCCGAGACCCGAGATAGGGATTCGTGGAAGAGCCGACCACTCGCCGTTTCCCTCAACCCGGTAATATGTTTCGAGTAGGCTTGGGAGCCTACTCCCGCGTCCAGCCGATAAACAAACCCAGATAGAGAGATCCCTTGCTGAGTTGATCACGATATCTGAGTTCGTAAAATGCCGCGACCTTTCGACGCGACCTCTTGGTGGGGCTCGCGCGAACGAGTGAGAGCAATGTTTCGTTGGGAGAATGTTGCAGGGAACGCCACAAGACTAGGGAATCATTGTGGTTCAACCAACTCACTGCGTTAATTAGTCTTCGCAATAGATATGAGGTGTTGGAAGATGATGTAAACGAGAGAACTAATCCGCCACGAGCTCCAAATGACGAGCACAAGTGTCAAAAGCGTGAGGGGTTAACTCGATGTATATTCTTTGTTATATAAAAGAGAGTATCGAACGCCACTTGTTCTCATTCCCTCTTTTTTGCCCGGGGGGCCGTCCTCCGGCAAAACGGAAAACCATCCCGAATCAATGCCGCGCGTGCGTTTTTAGATGAACGACATTGCGATGTAGGCGGCTGGAGTACGCTCCGTGCGGTAACGTCGGGTAATGAATACTCGTACGTAGCATGAAGGGAGCGTGTCCGCCGAATGATGCGCGGTGGAATCTATGATCGTGATTCTTGGCCAGAAATTTGTACCTATTTCATGGCTTTGTTCGAAATTCATGGAGCGGGCAACTGGATTCCTTGTTCCTCGTTCGTGTTACAACTTGCATCCGATCGCTTTCTCTAATGAGAGTGCTCCGCTAGAGTCGTGTGGTTTTCGATGAAGCCCTCATTGCCTGAATGTCGAAAAAACCGTGTTTTTTTTCGTTCCGATGGAAGTCGGCTAGCGGTCCCGGGTGTTTCGTAAATCGTTTTCGATAACCCGTTCCCGCCCGATCGCGAGCACGAGTCTCGATTCCGTTCAGAATGATCTTAGCAAAAAAAATTTCGCCTTCCCCCTGTAATCCGTCTGGTCCACCGGGTACTAGCCGCATATGTGACTAGAGATGGGGACTCCACTTCTTCATGAGGGCGATAGGCGCATTCGGCCTGACACCGGAGCTGACTTCATTATTCCCACCGGCCGTACCAGTAGGTGCATAAAAACGCTTCTGATTGGATGGTTCGAGTTCCCGCTTGACAAACAGCGAAGAAATCAGATTAGGCGCGACTCGCTGAGGCATCGATCATTGCGGTCAGACGGACGATTCGCGGTCATTTGATTTCGATGCCGATCCCGCGACCAACTCCGTGTTCTCAGGCCCACGGGCAGCGTCACTACCTTGATTCCATGATTCGGATCCTCGGTAATTTTGGGAAAAACTTCACTCTCAATGTTCCGTCGCGTGCCGAACCTCTATCTCTGAGTCAAGACTTTCCGCAAAGCTTCGCAGCCTAGGCCAATGAGAGTGAAGGTCGACTCGCAATTTTCGAGAGCGACCTTTCTGGAAAGCTCCCCCGGAGCAGTTGTCGAATCGCTCGTTGAGTCTCTCTGCTCCGATCGGCTTTGCAGTGAAACCAGAAGCCGAGTTCGCGTGCTGGCCGCCAGACTTCCGCCAGAGTCCGAGAGCCGCGTGGAGCGTTGATAAATCTTATTGAGCGAATATGCTCGTTTCAAACAAACCCACCGTCGCAGAAGGCACGAGAAGCGAGAGTGTGTCGGCAAAGAGCACAATGTCGAAGGGGGACGCCAAACAAAAGGACGAGGAGAAATCTCTTCTCGCGTAGCTCAACGTTCCCAGCTCCGCTCGTCAGCCGGGTGGCTAGCTGACTGGATTAATCTGATCTCACTGAGCGAACGAGCGAGTGAGAGGAGTGCTTCACACCATCCGCTCAAGTAACATTTTCGCCGACTGTAACGAACTTCATCTCGCCTCCATCACATCCTAATCGGATAGCGTTCTCATGCATGGAGCACGCCTCGATTTGTCCACCTGAAAGCGTTTGAAGTATGACATATTTTAATCGCGAGTCCGCTGCTAGAACTCCGAGAGCCGCCGAGCATCGCTGAGAATATGCTCCGGAGAGATAGAAAAGTCATGAGAAAATCTCCGAGGCTCACCCATCGACTCAGGAAGAGAAATCAGAGCCGCAGGCTGACCGAGACCGACTGACCTCAGGCCTGGCGATAAATTCGCTCGATAACACAATGATGAGTAAACCAAGACGTCGGCGTCGTGACTGAGGGCCAAAATTTAATGCTTAGGAAATTGAATCCATGTCCCGCAAAATGCTGTCCGTCACTCCGAGTTTCGATGAGGAGCGTCTAAGTGGAATGGACGAGTCATCAAAGGTTTACCAAACATCGAAATTTCGGTGAGCCGTCAAAATGTCGAGCTTCCCATTCTTCCTCGTCCCGGCTTTCCCCTCACCCCGCTGAGAACCCCGTGGATCACCCAACCATCCAGTCGCTTGCTTGCTTGGTTAGTTAGCTAACCTTCCAATCGTTGATCCATTGCCTCGTCCATCACTTTTTCTGATGCCGCCATCCGAAACAAAGGAGCCTTTCTCCTCCCGTAGGCTCGTATGTTCCGTCTTCTATGAGAGAGCGCGAAAGTGTTGTCTGTCCTCTCACTCAGTCAGTCAGCCTGTGAGGGTTCGGCGTGAACTGAACGGCTCCGATTGGGCTATTTTTAAGCTCGGATTCGACTGAAACGATCGAAGAGAAGATGATGTAGCATTTTCGAGTACGAGGCAAAAACCAACTCGCACCGAACGTCGCAGGGACAGGGAAACTCATTCTATTCTGCCTTCTATCGTCCTCAGTCTCTTTCCGCCTCCCCTCAGCTCAAGTGCGCAAGTCTTCGATGTATGTAAGCACGGCATCGGACACTGGGCTGAAAATGTAATTTCTAGCTTCCTGTGAGGTTCCGCAAGAAGCTCCACGGATCGGAAGGAAGGAGGAAGAGGGTGCTTCCCGGAGGAATCAACACGGTGGTTGTATCGGCCAAGTCAATGCGTTCGATCCCTCCACCAATAACTGTGGTTATATATTTCCGATACTTGTCGTCGCATCTCGGCAACCGTTTCGTCCGACAGCACAACGGAAGAAGTCGCGGCGGTAGTCGTATATCCGAGAGGAAAGCCTGTGGTGAGGATCAGGAGCTAGGTCCCGATATGAATTACCGCACTTAGGGAGCAGCAACACATTTGACCGCATCGGAGACCGTCAAACGAAACTCTAAACCTGGTAGGATATGCAATCGATACTGCAATCGACAATACTGCTTCTATCCTAGCAACATCCGGCGCTCCATTTTTCGCATATTCCCCTGATTCTGCTCGATATTCAGTATCTCATTTGATGTCTACGCGGAGGAGTGCTGGGCCATCCATAACTTGGCATAACTCGTTGGCGTCGGGCTCCCGAAAGTTAGCTCTGTTTCAGGTCGACTTCGCCGTCTGTGGCTGGTAAGACGGATGTATTCGGCAATATAAATCTGTAGTCCCCCCCCCCTCCCCGCCTCCCCTGACGATGGAGGACTCTGAATTTTCTCCTGAGGCAGCTGCGAGCGGAAACTTCATTTGGAGCGGAGCTGTCCCATGCTCATATGGTGACATGATGAAATTCTTCCTTTTCCGTTCCTCGGAGGACAACGACGTTCGGCCCGAAAAAGGGAGCGTCCGGCGCACCGAGTTTCATATCGGGAGACAAGCTTGTCTGCATCGAAACTTTGAAAACTGGACATGTAACTGCTTGAATTTCAAATAGCTCGACTAACGCACTGAAGGAAAATGATTGGCAGACAGACAGTCACCGAGCGGACGAGTCGGCCAACCAGCTGCACCGAGCATGGACTGCAGCTGGGAGTTTGAAGAATTTTCGTATGACGCGTGCGTCGCGTCTTGCGTCCTGTGAGGGGGTCGGTCTCCCGATTCGAGTTGTGCTCCGTCACAATCGATGGAACCCTTCGGTGGCAAAAGTGCCAGTGAATATCGCCCGAACTGCAGTGGTTTCACGGTAGGGATTCCCTCGACCTCCGGCAACTCCCCCCCCGCAATCGATGCCCGGGATGGCCAGATCTGTAGGTAATTTCCCAAAGGAATACCGCTTGGCTGTTCTCGATACCAGAAGAATATCTAATCCGTGCCGCCATTCCCGCCGTTGAAGCTACGCACCCTCGTCCGAGCAGTGTGACATACCTACACGGACTCATTGCTCGCGATGGGCAGGCACATGCACATACGTGTTATGTTCCGCCCCCTTCAGCGACGCTCAGAGCGGTAGCAACTTCGAATGTGCTAATGGCTTTCGCATGTTCTTCCCCCGTCTGCGAGCTCGACGGGATCACTTCCTGCTCCTTACTTCTATGGGAGAGTCTTCTCGAGACGTACTCAACGCGCGCTCGGAGGTGGGAGCGAACGAGCATTTTTGCGGAAAAACAATATTTCAGACGCTCCGTTTCCTCCTTCTGCTCCGTGTTAGAAGCATGCGAGAGAGAGCGAGTCTCCAGGGTTATGGATTCTGTTTCCAACGATTTTAACTCGCAGAGCTCGCGTTCCGGAATATCATAGGAGCCAGTCGACCCGGCGGGCTGGATCCGAATGGGCGCACTCCAATCGGACAAATAAACGGAATATATCTAAAAATGAGAAAGCACGGATCCGCCGAGGGTTCGCGCGCCGCACCGTCGCGCCGAGACTGAGACTTGTTCTGCCGCTCGGTCGGCTGGAGGGGACACAAAAACGTGTTCACCCGTTGGGTCTTCGTTTCGGCACGCTCGGAGGGAAAAAAGAGCCAAACTTCCCCAGGAACTAACGTTATCAGCGCCGTGCAGCATTCCTACGGGAAAACTTGGCAAACTCCTTCACCGGCTCACACAGCTCCCCAGGTTGAGGAACAATTTGCAATCCTCGGCTCGCTCACGTCGACCTCTAACATATATAATATTCGCTCGTTTCTGGCTCATTAACCCGGCGGCGGCGCTCCGGAATTTCCTGCTCGTGTTTTTGCTCGATGACGTTTCTCAACTTTCGGAGCCTCTCGAATTCTCCGGAAACAATGAACATCGACATATGAACTCTGCGAATGGTCTTCGGTGAACGTTCCGCGTGCTAGTATTCGGGAGCTTTTTATCCGGGACCGCTCGGGCTCTTGACTCGTTCAAGGCCCGTGACACGAGCGAGTGAATTTCGCCGGGAGCGAGTGAATTTCGCCGGGAGCGAGTTGGGGGGTAGGATCGCGTGTAATCGAAATCGCTCCCCGAAAACAGAGGCATTCGAAAACCGCAGCTCTCGATAGTCATTGGAAACAGACGTACGAGAGCAGGCAGGTCTTGGACACCGATTGTCACTGATTGAAGTCGCAGATTCGTCCTCAAACTAGCTAATGACCCCACACTCCAGAGTCGGACTCGTAGGTTCAGGAGAATCTCCGCTCCACAAGGGTCGACTCTTTCTCGACCGAGGAGGCTTTGGCTGGATATCCCTTTGCATCCATTAGCGAGAGACCGAGGAATCAATTTCTCTCAGTTTTTTGGATTCTGGAGATTCCCGACTCCCTGATTCTGCTGATCCGTCTCACTGCGCTTGTGTCCTTCGTCTGACATACAGAGGCAAACTCGGCAGAGACGTATCTATTGGACAAAACGCTTCCGGACAGGAAGCAGATCCCCAAGTCCTCGATGCTCAAGATTTTCAGAGCGTCGTTCCGCCCTTAAACCGCTGACTCGACGGAATTTCGGATGGACGGGATACGTGAGTTGATCGGGTCACGTCGGAAGGGAAAACGCCGCACCGAAATTTTTCGAATTCCTGACGCAGCTCGGACAACGACGATTCTCGTCACTATGTGTTGTATGTATATACCGCTGCCGCGGCAGGGATGAGAATCCTTTCCCGCAAAGATGTTGAAGGCTCTTCCATGCAACTCGATCGGGAATTCACCATCCATACGGCAGCATCAGCGAGAAGTAGCTTCGCAATTCGCCGAAAGTACCGATTTGGTTGCGATTCCGTCAGGTATCAAGTAAAGGATCCCGTCGCCGATTGTGTGCTGGTGTCCGACGAGGATAGCGGTGAGAATCGCGTCGGCGGCAGGTTCGACAGCATTATCTCGTCTCCGAAATTCTCTCAGAGAAATCTTACCCCTTCGGAGACTCCCAGTCTCCCAATGAGCGGAATTCGACAGAGACCGAGTTCTTCAGTTGACGCGATGTCGGGAAGGGGGAAGAGTGAGCTGCATCAGACATTGGGCTCATCGGCTTACCCGAGCCGTCCCCAATGCCTATCAGCTCGCTTTCCTGACCGAATAAAATTGACACATTCCCATATAATCGTGTGAGAGTGCGTATATCTGCATGCTCGTCTGGTTGGGGCGTGTGGCACCCCTAATGCCGAGCAACATATTCGTCAGATGAAGACAATTCTATCTTCATGAACTATCATCGGTGGAAAAACACCGGGCGGACGAGCCCCGGATGCATTATTAGGGAGTGATCGGAAACTCCTCGCAGATCTTTCCGACTTTCGTCGGAAACCGAGGAGGCTGGGAACGCGAGCCACAGAGTAGGCAATGCGCCGTTGTGTTCCAGATCATTGACAGCTTTTTCCACCGCTGATTCTTTGACAATTATTGCCCTTTCTCTGAAGAGAACAAAAGCCGTGAACCGAGCAGGACGCTCCCTCATTCCCTGGGAGTATCACGATCCAAGCAATATCGCTCGGCTGCGGCCATCGTTAGCTCTCCAGGGATGTTCACATTCAACGATTTAGCGGATCTGCCGCTCAAATCCTACGGATGAGACTCGGAGCGAGTCGGTTCCCTTTCCCATTTCGTACCGCGATCCCTTTCCAACGAGCTCTCTCCTAAAAGTGGCGGTGCTCTTCTCCAACAGCGGTCGAGCGTGCCTGAACAGTTCTTCCGCGCGAATTGAACAGCGTGCCCGGCCAGTGCTCCCAGTCGCGGGATTTGGACGTGCAGTGAACGTGCAAATGGAACTCGATGATGACTGCAATTGTGATCGATGAATATCTCGGAGCGAGAAGTGCGCTGAACTGAACTCATCTCAATTGGATACAAAGCTGAACGGTTTCGCTCTTGCGGATTTTCCGCTCGAGGTCGGCAGGAGGATTTTATAGTTGTCGAAGGCTCAGGCGGCGGCGACGACGGACAAGGAAGAGGATCGACCGCCAGTCGGACATCGACGACAGCGGTGAAGTTCGCAGTGGGTGTAGTGGAAGACTAAGTAGTTGAGGAGCGTGTCATGCGACTGGGAGCTGGTCTGAGGGCCGGCCTTCCAAGCGTGTGCGCGTTCTGTATCAGTGAGGGCCAAGGTGAAGCCGGAGGAGTTGACGCTGTTGGGGTCCTGCCCTGCGACTGCCGAAGAGGACCACCCTAACTTTCTTGCCATCCAACAACTCGGAAGGCAACAGGTCGACAACGATTGCGAAGCCCAGCAGGTTCGTGATTCCATGACATGCCCTCGTTCCCATCCTCCTCTCTCGATTCGATTAATCACCGATTTCCCTCGTCGTCTATTGACTTTTGTCCCAAATGAGAGGTTTCTCGCGATGATATACCGCTCTCTCCCCCTCCCCCCTCCCTCTTTCTCTCTCTCTCTCTCCGAGAATATCGAGATAACCTTCGGTTGCGAGATCTGAGCTCCCGGAAGAGCGGTGGTTCCGCCCGGCGGCGTGGGATCGAGCCATAGGAATTCATCCTCAAGTCGATATGAGCGACTCCTGATATTTGGAGAACAGTCGATATCCGCTAAATATAGGTCGTGTCCAACGCATTCTTAGTCTCTGATTGGACCTCTTGAGCATAGTTTGTATCGAGAACCTTGAAACAGCGATCCATGGACAGACATACCGAAAGTCACAAGGGAAAATTACTATCTGACGGGCGAGCTCTCTGCCGAAACTCGATGAGAATGTTATCAAAAGTCGCTGAGAGAGATTTATAGTCTTGGACAGTCGAAGGTAATCGTTTTATCAGAACCTCTCAGGACCAGAGTCCTCATATTGGAGTCAGAAGTTCGGCGCGTTCCTCCACTTCCGTTCAAATGCTCTAATCCTCGAAGTATCGGAGATTCGTGGATCCGCGGATTGTATCCCCTCTCGCTGGAAGTGTGTTGATGCAAAGCCGGAGCCCTCTTCTAGCTGCCGCTACTGTCGAATTCTTCTTCACTGATTTATTCAAAATATTAAATCCGAATTCGAATTTCCAGAACTACTGGCGCCCGTCACCTCTGCAGCAACTGATCATCTCGTTAGTACCCTCAGTGACGATGGCTCTACGCTGTGCTGTCGGGGTCATGGGCCTTCTCCTGATCCTCTTGCTAGCGTCGTCGCAAGCTCAACAGCTCGAGTTCTGTCCGGACGAATGCGATTGTGACGCTCTCACGGTCGACTGTTCATCAAGAGGACTTCGATTCGTCCCGAGGAACATCCCTAAAGAAGTTCGACGACTGTAAGTTTCTTGTGATCCCGTTAGTTATGCCTTGATTGTGGAAATGTGATCGAATGTCCCTCAGAGCTCTTCGCATATACATGAGGAGGGGACACGTATTTTCAAGAAGAACTTCAGCGACTTCACCTCTCGATGCCGTCGCCATCGATGACGCGTTCTGGATCTGACTGGAATACGGCTGGGTGTATCGCACAATGCTCGTTTACGGGCATTGGAAGATTCTGCGGTTTGAATCTTTTTTCATCTGTCGTCGTTAGCGGAGGGGACCTTTGTTTAAAGTTGGCTCGTCGGACGACGAGCACGTTCGCGCCGATTTTTCCAGTGGCCTCCTGTCGGCAGCGTTGCTCTGCTTCATGTCGTTCCATGTCGACCTCGTGAGTGATGTCACGGATTGATTGACTAAGTGACCGACCGACTGACTGACTGACTGCTCGGGTAGCTGTCAGTTGTGTATCCGACAAACAGACAGACATACTGACAAACTGACTGATAGATATGTAGGTACGTCAACGGGATGCGGGACAAGAGGGTCTCCCGACTCCGCAGTGGATCGTTTCGCGTTTCTTCCTCTCGACGTCTCGAAGTACACACTCCGCTCATCAATTTGCCTGCGAATCGTGGCTTCTCGATTGAGGCAGCCGGGGAGATTCCGCTATTTTCCCATCATGAAGGGGGGTGCTCGGAATTCTCGGAGTGAAATCGAACGCACGGAATCCGTCGGATCGATCGGGGGTCGAGCTCCCCAGAGGACGCTCATTGGACCATAGTTCAGCTTGATTTGTTTAGCTTTGTGTGTATAGCTCCGTGCCGGAATGTATCCGGCGACATTTGTCAACCTGCTCGAGTAGCACCGACAAACGTTCGTCGTCCTAGCTTTCGCTTACTTGCCTTCGTGCTTTCGAGCAGCAGCGGCGGCAGCCTATTTAACCGCCTGTCGGAAGGTTGAGCGAATGGCTGACTGACTGACTGCTGGACGGAGTGACTCGGGTACGGTTTGTCGCTTCGCTGGCTTCTCTCTCGCCTGCGGTGTCGTATTGAATAGTTTTCAATGAAGAGCGCTGGAGCAATTCACGAATTCATAGAAGTCGGTCTGGAAGCAATGAAAAGCCCAGGGCAGAGGACAGACAGAGCGATGGATGGATGGGAGAAGGACGAACCGACCGACCGACCGACCAGGCAAGCGCCGAACGGATGGATGGTGAGATGAGATGATGGAGATGCTTTCGGTGCCACTCTGGGGCCTCTTTTTCCCTTCAGATCTCTCGTCGTCGTTGCCGTCTTCTCCGAGAGCTGTTGGTTGGCACTCTGTAGCTCGGTCTCCCGTTTCTCGTTCGAACGCTTCACTCGTTTACTCGCTCCGCGTAGATGCCGCCGGCCGTAGCCGTCGACGTCGCTGTCTTTACTTTATTAATCAACAAAGCATCTCCGTCACTCGAGACGTGTGCGCGTGTCTTCTCAATCGCGGAGTTCCGCGAACTGTATGTGCACTCAAACTCCCGGTGGAGAGATTCTTCCACGCATTCTGTGTGACAACGCGATCATGCGATCGTTGGCGAGGCCATTATCGTGGGACAGTACACGAAAAAATAGCCACGGGGGGAAGACTGCGCAGCGCCAGAATAGATCCGTATCGTGACGAACATGAATTTCCGAAGAGATCAGCCCGAGAGAATCTCGGACGGGAGAAAACGCGCGGAGCGGTTTGCCGCGGCCAGACAGCTTGACGCAGTCGGAATATTGTGTGTAGAACACATTGTAAACAGAAACCCGAGATTCTCAATGGCATTCGCGTGAAAGTAGTCGTCTCTTGGTGGCCTGAATGAGTTTTCGAGGAAGCGCTCGCGTCCCGCATGAGCTCAGGCAGAGCTCTCTCCGACGAATCGAAATATGTCCTGATTCCAATGCGGAGAGCTCTATCGAGAATCTTTCCGGCTTGGATACCTCGTCGAGGAGCTCGCTCCAGACTCGAGCCCACCCCGGCGGGAAGAAGCATTGTGAACGTTGGCATGGTTTTGTCATCTGTACCGATGATGATCGATGAGCAAGACCTTCACCGAGTCCGTGTGCCGAAGGGTTTGTCAACTCCAAGACCGGCATCGAAGCCTAGTTTCCGCCTCACTCAATGTCGACTTCGCGTCACTTCGAATCATCATTTCGGCGCCCTGAATCGAGGTGAAGGATGGTAGAGGTTCCATGGGCTATCGAGGTGGAGGGCGCCTCGGATAAAAACCCCACGTTCTGAGGGAATATATTCATCCATCCGATGATGCGAGCGGAGAATTTTTCAGGGCCCTAACCCGAGCTTATCTTCCACCGGTCACCGGTTTCCTTGGTGTCGGTATTCGAGAGGGCGAGCCCTTGCACAGTATATATTCGTTAGCGGGCGTTCCTCTCCTTGTGTTCTATTGACAATTAATATTTACGTGCACGTTCCGATTCCGGACGGATAAATTCAATTGAATAAAAATTTGTCCCTGCGAAAATTACAATACACAATCATTCGAGGTGACCCGGTAGTACAAGCCAGATGTCAAGGGTTCGAGGCGAAAACGAATTTCTCCCTTCTCAGAGCTCTCGGTTCTGTCCCGTAAAAACGGCCATCTTACTTCGCACCGGCCAGCGATGCTCGGTCGCCTGTCCCATTCGCGGCTCGAGTTACTGAGCGGGCGAATAAGTCATTAATTTGCTTCATCCTAATGTCGTAGGAGCTGTCGCCAACGACCAGAAGCTTTATCGGCGATTCTGCGTCGGATCCTCCGCTCGTCGCCGTATCCGTCGATCGGCTTTCGGAGAGCCGTCTCGGAAGCGCTGACTGTCTCTCCGCTCGCTCGTTCGTTCGCCATCGAAAAGCCTATTGAAGTTGCCTTGATTATTCGAGCTTCGACGATGAGTCGACTTGGGTTTACCTTGTTTCTCTACTTCGCCTCGCCGTGAGTGGTTCAGATTCGTTGGCGGCATCCGCGACCGAGGTCCGTCTCTGGACAACGTTTGGTTGGTAGAGCGGAGGCCCGGATGAAATTTATGTTGGGATTAGATTAGTGAGAGTTCTCGATTTTTTCTACTCTTCGACAAGGAGCTAGCGGTGGTTGAGACAACGTCGGCGGTGCGTTAGGTATTGGATGGATAGTCAGACGACGGAACGTGCCTGTCCGAGGAAACCTCTGCTTATCGGGTATTAGAAAAAACATTTATTATATACACGGCTCGGTAGAAGAGAGCGAAACAAAGGAGCGAGGATACATCCGATGCCCAGTCGGTCGGATAGCTCCGGAGGGATAGATGGATAGATAGACGCTCGGAGAATGGATGAATGAATGGATTGACCGATGGAGAGATTAATGAGAAGGTGGCACGTGCCCAGAGTACGCCCCGACCGACGTAAGCACGAGCCCACGAGAACAAGACGGCGCGCCCTGCTCCAGACTGCCGCGACATATCTGTTTTAATGGCGCTGTACGTGTCGGCTCTGCGGTCGCTCTACGTTTCGAGCTACCGCGGTGACGACCGTATGAAGTTTAGGCACCGATGGAGCGATCCCGACGGTCTACGAAAAGTCTACGATTGAATCGACCGAAATTCAAGCTCACGGACGGGGAATCTTCGAATTCTCAGCGTAGATAACGACGCGCCGCTCCCTTTCCCACGTGTCCGTTAGCAGTACCAGTACGCCTCACTGTTGTTCACGGCGGAACGCCCACGATAAACTGATTACTTCTTATCCGGGACGATACTCGAGGGTCTCGGGACGCAGGCCAAGAACTCCGATCCTGTGGTGGAACGAAAAACTGTGCGTCGAGAGCAGCTCGAGAAGGTCTTCGATTCCTCTGTGATCGAAACACGAGTCTCTACCTTGATGGAGAGATCGTTAGACGAGTTATCCAAAAAGTGCCTATCCGGGCTCATCATCAGTGCATACCGATTGTGTTACCAACACAAATAAATCAAGGCTTCGTAAAAACGATTGTTAGTAGGTATAGCGGCAGCTGAGCTGGCCCTGGTGTTTCTCTTCGCCGAAGTAACGACCTTTGGCCAGACAAAATGATTCTTTAGTAGCCAATCTATTTACGTGGTCAATGCACCGGAAGAGAGCACGCGCTCTGACCTATCTGCATATCTCTCTACTGATCTGATCTGATCCGACCTGCCTCTCAATGCGTGTTTATTGTCATAACGCGCTTCTCGTCCCGGGTCGGATTCTCACGCCGGTTTGAATCTGATGCGAGTCTATCAGAGCCCGGGTCGATCGCTTCTATCTTCTCCGTGGAGTACCGGCGAGGAAGCATCCAATGAAACTAAATCCGTTGCTGAGCAGTCCAGGTCTGCATCCTCGTCTCGATCGACCTCTCGATCTTCCGGACTTCCTGAGTGATCAAAGGCGTATTTTCCTTAAATTTCCTCAACCCTCTCGCCGCCTCACCGCGAGTGACTTCATGGAGGAGTCGGCCACGGCCTGCACAGTCCTCCTCGGCATTAGTCCAGGAGAGAACTCCTCCGAGGATATCAGTCTCGACGCTGCTTGGTTCCCGGAACGGTTTTCGTGAAAACCTAAGGGCTACCGGGATCGAGGCGAAGACTTCTCGCGCTTGGCACCGTGCTCCCACGGAGTGAGAGCGGTCAAAGCCTATCTGCATGTCACATACAGACAGCTCCGGCTACTCGGATATTTATCTGGCGACTCATTGCGTCGGTGATCTACCGAAAGAATTTCCTCATCGGAGATTGGACTCGCGTGGAAAGCATGTGCTTGGCGGCGAATAATACGGAAGCAACAATTAGGTCAGGAAGAATAGCGATGCGAGCAGCCCTTCACGTAGATATCGAGCGCGAGCTCGTCTTTGTAGTCTGCTGCGTCGTGGCGAAAAAGCCACAACGCAGAATTCTGCTTAAAACACAAACAGTCCATCAAGGCGTCGGAGCAGCCATCGATCACTAGAATAGAGCGCCGTACACGCAACAGCGAACAGAGTTCGAATAAGTTGAGGTGCACTCGTTGTCGCACG